AAGGGCACGACAAGCCGAGTCATACTCCACACACGATTAAAACGTTGAGGACTCGAACAAGAGTCTGGTTTCACCTCCCCGATGCCAAGGTGCCACGACGAGTCGTCCTACATACTGCCTAAATGGGCCAACATCTCGGTCAGTCATGAGTACGCCGACCTAAACTATGAATATGACGAGTAGTACCATGAATCCTAAACCTAGAACTATGGGTTTACCGGGCAGTTTCATAAGTTATGCGCCCAAAACCATGAAGATCCCGGGCAGCATCGCAAGTTACATACCTAACGCTATGCGTTCACCGGGCACAAACATGCATTTACCAGGCAAAAACATGAACATACCGGGCATGGACACGAATGTACCGGGCACTAATCCCAGATACGGATTTCTAACATACAAATAAAGGAAAAAATCACCTACCATAGAAAAATATGAGGGATAAAACGCTTACTTGGAAGTTAGGAAGGATGTACGGTGGCAGGGAAGAAAATCGACGGCGGAAAGCACGGTGGTCCTATGAAATTTTGGAAAAACAGCGGCGGCAAAGGCAGAGGAAGGAGGAGAAGCGCGAAGAGAAAAAACATATTATGGGACCCAAGGATCCTATTTATAGGGATGATGTGGAATACGAAACGTCACCCCGGGGGAACCACGAGTTTCCCCTCCTCGACGCCTACTCCCCTAGGCAATGTTGGCTCTATCTTCAATAGGGTGGCATCACGGATCCCAAGGGTTGCCTCGCATACTCAACGAGCACAGCCCGCAAAGAATCCCCTGAGCACACCTCGAAAGGGATTATCTCACGAACGCAACACATGAGAAACTCCTCGAGCAGCCACGGGGAAGCAGATATCCTGGTCGAGCATAAGGCTCGTGACAAAGACGAGCTGAGATCAAGTCATAACTCCTGCTCCAGAAGCCACGACTTGGGGGCTCCTATTCTGGACTAGGCCCGTCCTGGCCCAAGAGCAAGAGCGAAGGCCCAATCCAAGCAACTCTTCAAGGAGCGCACGCTCGAAGATCCCCGCCAGCGCGTCGACCAGAATCTGTAGCCTTGCCCGCCGCTGCCCATGAACATGACATCCTCGACCACATGAAGTTCAGCTTGGGCCCAACTCGAGCACCCTCCTCGTAGGGCAGACTATGACCGTTACTCCATCACCTGAACTCCGGAAAGACCGCGTCCTCGTCCCTCCGTACTTCTCGCAGAGCATCACCAGGAAGGGGACCACGTGCGGGTCCCTACTACACGCGTAGAACCTGGTAGTTCCTTTATTGGGCCAATCCCGGTCGGCCCAATAAAGGGACCTTGGCCCCGCGCTGGGGGCTATAAATATCCTTTATTCCTAGAGGATCAGGTATTCATTCTCTTACCCATATACACACTTTTTGCCTACTCGTACTATCACTCACTTTAGCATCGGAGTGCCTTGCAGGTACCCCCCCATCTCGTTCAACTTCTGCTCGGAGCCAGTCGTGACGGTCCAAGTCTGATCAGGTAAGATCAGTTAGGGTATTCATATTCAACTTGATTAAATTAATCTCGAAATAATAAAGATTTTTCAATATTATAACTAAAATATGAATGTGAAAAAAATTAAAAAGTCAAGGAGAAATTTTCATGGGCCAAACTATAAAATGTGAATTTTGAAATTTGATTAAAAAAAAGATAAAATTAGGTCAGAGTAAAATCCAACAATTTTACTTGATTTTACACGATTTTGTCGATTTCATAAAGATTTAAATCATTTAAAATCATTCTAAAATAGGATTGTACATAAAAAGGTTTCTACATGCAATTTAACACAAAATGCTGACCTAGAAATGTGAAATCTATAGAGTTTAGATTTTAATTCGCGATTTTAACAACCTTGCTCTCAAGATATCTAAAGATAACTCTTATTGAATTTGTTCTAGAATTTATGTTAGCCCATTCAATTCAATCAGAACAAGCTTGTTGACTCACCTCAACGATATTAGATAGACAATATCCTTACCATGGTCTCTCCTTAGTGAATTTAATGAGATTTTAACTCCTTTGGAGCAACGAGGAGGCAACTTTTGCAACGCCAAAGTTTGTCGTTTGTCTTAATATGTGTAATATGATTGATATGAAATTCTTTGGTTCTTGCTTCACATGGTAGATAAAATGTCGTAACAGTTAAATTATTCCAGATGGAGAATTCAATTTTCATAGGTAACTGTAGAACATCCCGTGAGAGCCAATCTGACCATAATCCACTATTCCTTCGCGGTAGCCATCCAACATCTGCCTTCACATAATTTTTTCTTTCAAAAACATGTCAATATTCAAATATGAAGATGAGTTTGAAAAAATTCCTTTAAGTTCTACATTATTTTAAAATTATACTAGTAAGAAACATGTGTTATCACATAGGTTCCGTTGGAATTCATATTACACACCTATCAAACCATTATTTGTAAAGTTTAAATTCATTATTCAATTAGTTAACTTTCACATAGTGTAGCGGTAAAATTGAGACTAAGCTATTGATTAATTTAACTCACAAAGTGAAAGTCGCCACCGAACTTTATTGTTTCAAAAGGAATGAGAAAAGATCAAATAAATTCACAAAAGAATAGAGATCAAGGTATGGGGGTTGGTTATGCAAAGGGAAGGTATTAGCATCCTAAATATTCGTTGTACTCAATAGGATCTACTATGTTTGTTCTAATCAAAAGGGTGTGTTATCTAAAGCTTATACTTGCTAAGGGAAAATGCATTAATGAAATTATTTACAAAAAGAAAAGTTTTTATTAATGCGCCTGACGTGGTTGCGAACATTTGTGTCTACGTATCCCCTTCGCATAATAGAGGATCAGGGCACTCATAGTTCACCTGAAATATTTTTGCTTGTTTTGTGTTTTTTAATTGAACAATGTTAAGTTTCGCATTCTACTGCAGCTCGACCTTTGGAGACTCATGCATTGTCATAGAAAGAAACTAACATGTTCTTACCTGAAAAGGTTTTCAAAAGAAAAAACTCGAAGGTGGCCTGGAGGCAAAAAGGTTTGAATTTGTTGAGTGTTTTTGTTCGGAGAAAAGCTTAGATGGTCCTCCAAGGCCGGAGGTATCAGAGTACTTCACTTTTATTTATGAAAATATTTGAGATACGTACAATACTAAAGTCTGTGACAATGAGAGACTTTTAGATGGTCGAGTCAGATGTCTCTTATCCAAAGTAATTCGCACGTGCTTGAGACTCGTGACGTATTTGCGTATCAAGTTTTATTAAGTATATTTTAGCTTTTTGATAAGAAAATATTTTTGTTTTACAAGATGCAAAAGAAAGAAAAATCTAAGGGAGACTCGAATCCAAGTGTTGTTATGTACAATGATACTAAAGTTAGGATAAAGGAAATTCTACTTAATTATTGACATGCTTGGATTTAGAACCTAAGGTCTACCTCAATATAAAATGACCAAACAAAGTTTAATCACTTCATAGAATTTTCTAAAGGAATTATGACAAAAAGAATTGACTAAATAATCATTCAAAATAATAGGAATTAAATATTAACATTAATTTGTTGTGTCATTTTATCATATGAAGAAGTAAAAAAAAATTATAAAAAATTATGAAACAATGATCAAAAGAAAAATATGAAGAAATAAGTCATTGAGTGCAAACAGCGAGTATGAGATATGTTTCAGCAAAATTTAAACCCAATTCAGAAATAAACCTAAAACCAGTTTTTTGTAGCACAAACTTCAGTTACCAAAATTTTTTGTGGGCTCTAGGGGGTACAGCCAGAATATGATGGTGTGGATCTACAATTCAGACGCTAGACCCATGAGATAGCGTCCAAGAGTAATGTTTTTGTTTAAGACAAAGCAGGTTCGTCCAAGAGTCCAGGTTCAATAGCACATCTCCATTCAACTTATTACTTAAATTAATATCTTGAGATTAATCAATAGATAGTTTCTTATAGCACTTTATATAGACAAAAATAATTCTATTAAAAATCAAAAATATTTTCGAAAATATATTTTTGAAACACATTAAAATCTTCATTAAATTAAAAAAGTATAAAATAAAAAGGTATTTTTGATTTTGGTTATTTTTAATTAGATATTGATAAACCTAAAAAGTATTCCCTAAAACATATTTGGAAAATTGGTAACCGAAAAAGTATTCCCAAAAACATATTTAAAAATTCACGGTCATAGTTCATTAAGAAATTCTCTAATCAATATTAACATGTTTTTTTAGTTATTTATTGACAAGAATTAAAAAAAAAAGAAGCATTAATGGTAAACGACGTAGTTTGAGCTAGAGTGACTATTGAACTTCATCGTGAAAAAGTCTCAGCCTACTCTCTTCTCCAGTTTTCCGGCGGCGCTATTCTCTCTTCTTTCTCAATCACCACCGCGGATTGCTCCATCTCGCCGGAGGTCTCGAAATTCTTTCATCACTCTCATCGTCCTCATCTCCTCTTTCCATATCCATTCTCCACTTCACCAGATCCTGACTCCAACTCTCATAATCTCAAACAAAACGCAAAGCCTAAATCTAACCAAAAACAAAATTAAACGAACACGGAAACGATTCCAGATGCCAATCCTTGGGGATAAAGCTTAGAGAGACTCAGAATTCATTACAGTATGCAGAAACACTCAAGAAGACGAAAGAAAGGGAGAAACGGAGCTTACCTACCGGAGACAAGTCCGGAGCTTCTTCAGAGATGGCGAGATCGACGATTAAACCGTCACTCCTTTGCATAAAGTTCAGGTACGAATTCTCAATTCACTCTTCCCGATTCTTCTCTTCTTCTTTTCCGTTTTTTCTGCGGATTGTTGTGCGTGTGTTGTTGAGAGTCGAAGATGACGAAGATTAAAATTGCAGCAGATTCGTGTTGTTTAGGTGTTGCTGTACGTGATGATGCGAAGATGATGACGATAGGAGCAGTGCCGAAGATGAATGAAGTAGATGATGGTTGGTGATGGAAGAGAGTGTGGCGATGTATTTTGGTCAATGATTCTTCTCAACGATTCAAGAACTTCCAGAAACCGTTATGGAGAGAAAATTGAAGAGAGAATTGAAAGGTGAGTGTTGAAGTTTTTTTTTGTGCTCTCTGAAAGTGAATCCCCGCATTTCTGTTATATAGTTGTGGAAGTTTGTTACCCAGGAATGAATCAGGGCCTTTAGATCTCAGAAGTTTGTTATTAGAATTAAGGGATGAGATTGATCTGAAAGTTTTCTAATATGAGCTGATCTCGACAGGAAAACCATCCCTTGCTTCTGATTTAATACTTCCTCTGATTTTCTGAACCGATTTCAATTTCCGCTATTTTCTCAATTGATGCAGGATTTTTCAGGCTTTTGAATTATTTGCGGAACTGGTCTTGAGTTGTGAATCGGTTAGGAGTTGGATGTTAGTTATGTGAGGTTAGAGCTATTTGTTAGCAACTTTCAAAGTTCCGTTTGAAACACAATGAACCCCTCCCGTAACAAACTTCTCATAAAATTTCCTTGCCGCGTCTTTAAACATTGTTGCTTGAATCTGTTTGCCATCTTCATCAGTTAATTCAACATTGAATACACATTTTTTCTTCTAGCATTCCTATACGTACGCAAGGTTCTTTTGTTTGTAACACCCTCCTTGATTGTCCAGGTAACCATATAAGGATTCAAAGAACAAGAGGATACACCCTACGTGTCATGGGCGTTCTAGCAGCGAAAGCCGAATTTCCATGTTGCTCATGAACCATTTGAGTGGCAGATTTTGGGACAGCACCCATATTATGTCTCTGGTTTCAAAGTGATACTGGGTTGTTTACTTTTTATCTCCGCTTCAAGTGCAGGACAAACCGGTTCACAGTTGGTTACAATTCAGAACTTCTCAGATTTATTGGGGATAACGTCGAGAGTATATTCAAGGACGCGAATAAGAACACGGTTCTGAACCTTCTCCGAGAGCAACTCTGAGGACAGACTTGACTGAAGAATTGTCTTCAGCTTCTTTGTTCCATCACTAGCAGTAAACATGTATCTGTTTCTGCCGAGTTTGGGATCGAAAACTTGAACAACAATATCAGGAATATCCGATGATCAGGAGACGGGTTTGCAAACAAGGTAGAAATGGCGTTTGGAGTCTTTTGTGATTGTAACGAATGTGTGTGTATATTAATGGACTGATTTTGATGTATCATACAACAAACTTCTTGGACATGGTTTTGGGTCAGGTGTTTTTAGACACGCTTTGAACTGTTTCAGAATTGTTTAGTTCAAGCTTTGGCATAATTGCAACTTGTTTTTTTTTTTATATGGACATTTTGTAATTTGAATCTTCAAGAAATGATGAATAATGTTAAATATTTGTTGTAAAATTGAATGATGGTGAATGATATTTGCAATTTGATGATGTTAAATAATGTTGAACTTGCCCTTTAAACTTGAATTCTTTTTATTGTGAACTTTGAATAAACTTGTATGCATTGAATCGTGATGAATGCCTTTTGCACTTGTACTTTAAATTCCAAGCAATCCACATGAACAGACTTTCTAAACTTACCATGTTAGAATCTTGAGAAACTTTGATCCAATTGAATGTTTTGCACTTAAAACATATTTATATAAATGGACTTTTCAATCTACATGCTTGAATCAACCGTAAGGGGTTCATAAACCAATATCTTGAATTATGCTTCTTGATTATTTGATAATATAGAATTCATAAAACATGTGAGCCTATAACATCATCTCTCGTGACATGATTCATGTTTTGAAATTCAATCCACAAAGACACCTTAACTTGATAACCAAAGATCTTAAAATAAATGTCATGAAGAAAACCTTGAAGATGATAAAATTTGAAGCATAGAAGAACACCTCAACAAACTTGAGCACAATAGATGAGAAACTCCAATACTCTTACTTTGAAAGCACAATGATGAAGAGATAATTTGAGAGCTTGAAGAGGACTAAAACTCTAACTCAAAACATTCTCAATTGAAGCATGATGAAACCTTAAACACAACAAGTTGAAACCCTTAATGCTTATGATCTTTGAAGTATATTGATGAAGACGACTTTTATCCTGAGGAATCGTGTCAATGAAGATGTCCATATTATTTATGATCCAAAACCCTAATACCAAGGCCTCTTTAATCCCGTGTTTTAGGAGTTCAAATGAATGAATGCTTTATGATGTAAACGCAGGCGGTATTATGAATAAACATATTAGGCGTAAAAAAATGGGGTATGTCACATAGTTACAAATATAGGTTAATAATATGCACTAATTTTTAAACATTGATCTACACTTATAAGACTATGCACAATGGTTTACATATTCAACATATTTTTTCCACTTTTTATACTCCACATCATCTTTTTTTTCTTCCATCTAATAATTCAACATTCATTCAACTTTTACTCACTACAATGGTTTTGTTTAATAAAATTCAACACCTTACCCCACCACTTTTATTTCATATTTTTATTTTCTTTTATATTTTTTATTTTTATGATTTTATATTAATATCAATTATCGATTGAAATAAATATAATTATTTTTATTTTTTATTTTTATTTTTATTTCAGAATTAGAAGCAATATAATTATTTTTTATACATACGGTCTTCCAATCCCTTTGTTAGAATTTTTGAATGACTTCCTTTTTTTACAAGAATTTACATTTCAAAGTATGACTACTTAAAATGAAATAAAATTGGAATGTTTCGAACTCGATTTCATTTGCAAATTGATGCTGTTTTTCTACAATTTATTTGCTTCAATATTTTCGTCTATAAGCTTAAATTTCATATCATTTAAATTGTATACTCTAACAACATTATCAATAATTATCAAATAATTAAATAAGTCTTTGTAGAAAACTAGAGGACAGTGCTTTTGCAACTAAGGAATTGAGTCACTTCTTTTAATTGAAAACTTATCTCATTTTTCAAAGGGAAGCCAACTATGGACTTGTTAAAGCTTGATGATGTATGATTTTATATTGGATGCATGGTTATTACATGTTGTTATCATGTATTTGTGTTGGCCAGTCTTGTTATTTCTATCATGCACTCGTAAAAGCTTTTAATTAAAGCACCACTGATTCAATAAGATTTAATTTTTGAAAATAAATTAATAAAAATGAGAAGGAAACTGAAGGTAATAGTTGTTTCTCATTAAACTCTGAGTCTATGAGTTGAGGTGAAACAAGGTGGTGATAATGGTTATAGATGATAGAAATTGTATGGTGGCCAGTGGTTATGAGTCCCACATCAAAAGTTTTTGATCAAATATAAAAATTTATATACATCTTTACTCGACTATTATTAAAACTTCATTGTTGGACTGTGTGACAAATTAATGACTTAAAGACCCAAAACTACATTTTAACATATTAATTTATCAATAAATATTAATAAAAATAATCTAATAAAAAAACGAACAATAAAAATTATTTTAATCCAGTCAGCAATTTAAATAATGTCAACTAAAAAGATTCTACTAGTTAGTTAAATAGTGCAATAGGGGTGTGTTTTATAAGGGGATATTCACAAATTTAACAAGAGTTTATTGGAGATTAAATAGAGAAAAAGTAGATTTTTTTTATGTCCAAATCAAATGAACCAAATCTTTATTTATAGACAAAAAAAATGATGAATTTTGGTGAAAATAAAAATAAAATAAAAATTAATTTATTATAAAATAATTGATTTCAAATAATTAACGTGAATTAAAAATATAAACAATCACAACAACCAATAAGATTTTCCAAAGTATTATATGTGGTCTCACTCCCTCCTCGTTCAATATTTTCTGCAATTAACTCACCTCACTTTCAACCATTTATTCAACACTCTATTGCATCAACTCAACTATTGAATAATTTTTTCAACACCCCTATTATCTATAGTCTAATAAGTCTTTAACTTATTCTCGTTTATAAATATAATAGTATTAGCAATAGAGTTTTTTTACTTATAATTTTTTGTAACTTATTACCATTTATAAAAAATAATTATTACTCTTAATATTTATAATTTATTCTCGTTTATAAATATAATTAATTAATTATTTATATATTTTCTTACTGCACCAAATCGAGTTATCTCCATAAATTGTCACAACACTAGCACAAAAATATAAATACAAATATAAATACAAACATATGTAGTGTGTCACATGGCTCATTTGTGAACTTACTACAAAATATGGTTTCATTCACTTACTTAGAACAATGTTGAGATAGTACAAAACAAATGTAAAAGAAGTTGAAACTTTAAAAGCCAAATGTAATATGACTTATATTGGTTTTAGATCAATGCATGAGAGAAATAATATTTTTTAAGAAGGTGAGAACAACTTGGGGTTCTTCTTTGACTAGTACATGACATATTACATTTGTCGTGTTTCCATTTTCTATATACAGATCACCATTGCATCTATTCAATATAATTATAAATAAATATATTAACAGACTTATATATTAATTGTTCTTATGCAGAAAGCCAAATGAAATATCATATTCTATTTGCACCAGATCCAAAAAATGAACCCTTGTACCCTTGTATTATTATCAATTATGTCCTTTGAAGCATTAACACGAAAATAAATACCAATCACAATATTAACAGGTATAACCACATATGGTGATGTTGTGTCGGGTCGACACCAACATATGTCAGACACCATATACGTCTTTAACCTGAATTGTTGTAACTACATAGAAAATAACAGTTCACGGAATCTAAAAAAACACAAACCATAACAATATATGGCTTTAATCTTTACCATGGAAGTAGTGAATCATTGAAGGGTTTGCTTTTATCTTAGAGGCCGTGTATTATTCTTCGTATCAATGTATCATATTGCTCATACTTCACCATCCCAGAGTTCTTCAACAGTCTTATAGGCACCATAAGTCTCATTGACAAAAAGTACCCTTAATTAGCTTATCATGCACGTGTAAGTTCCTCGTGTTAATTTAGATAATGATAAAGTAAGTAGTTTCAATCAAACATTCGTGAAATACTATTTAACTCCGTAGCACTGACCACTACTAAAAAAAGACATTTGAGAAAAGGTTTTTACATTGACTATCAAAATATATGATGTAAAAAATACAATTAATAAACTTTTTACATCAGGTATTTATTTGCAATGATATAAAAAATAAGAAAAAATATATATTTCGCTACCTATTACATCGGGCAATCGCATCCACCGATATAAAAGGTTTTCAGAAGAAAAAAATACGGTGGCATTTTTGTAAATAAGAAACAAGGTGGCAGAAATGTTAATAAAAAACAAGCAAGATATTACATCGGTTAACTAAAAACCGATGTAATAGCTTCACAGGCAGATATTAATATATAAAATAAATTAAAACAATTACATCGGGGGATTTTCAAAACCGATGTAAAAAACTAAGAAATGGACGCTTGCATCGGGTATTAGTTTCAACCGATGTAATAGGTTCAAAACCCTTATATCGGTTATTAGCATCCACCGATGTAATAATGTCTCCACTATACAAACCCTTACATCGGGTATTCGTTTCCACCGATGTAATATGTTCCAAACCCTTATTTCCTAAATTCACAATATTTCAATATTTCCACTGTACAATACTCTCCTTGCCGCCGTTTCACAATATTTCCACTGTACGCATACGCCATTTCCGTTCACAACCCTTACGACCGCCATTTCACAACCCTTACGACCGCCGTTTCCGTTCACAACCCTTACGACCGCCGTTTCACAACCCTTACGACCGCCGTTTCCCAGCCACCATCATCAACGTTTCAGTTCACGTCGTTTCCCAGCCACCATCATCAACGTTTCCATTCACGCCATTTCTTCGACCGCCGTTTCTGGTCATCGTCTTCGACCGCCGTTTCTGTTCGTTGGTCAGCGTCTTCGACCGCCGTTTCTATTCGTTGGTCATCGTCTTCGACCGCCATTTCTGTTCATCGTCGTTTCTGTTCGTGTTTCATCGTCTTCGACCGCCATTGATGATGATGTTTGTTGTGAATTTGCAGATTTGTTTGATGAACACAGATAATGAACACAGATGACGCGGTTTGTTGAAATTTGATTACGTCTCCTTGCCGCCGTTTCACATCTCCTTTCCGCCGTTTCACGTCTCCTCGCCGCCGTTCACGCCGTTCACTCCGTTCACGCCGTTCACGACTTT